TTTTTGGGGTATTTTGGGGCTGTCTCCCCTGTATTTTTTAGGATATTTTTGGTTTTTCTCCCCTGTATTTTTGGGGATATTTTTGTGGTTTCTCACCTGGATTTTTGGGGTTATTTTTGGGCTGTCTCACCTGTGTTTTTGGGGTGTTTTTGGGGATATTTTTGGGCTGTCTCACCTGTATTTTGGGGATATTTTTGAGGTTTCTCACCTGTGTTTTTGGGGTGTTTTTGGGGTGTTTTGGGGGATATTTTTGGGGTTTCTCACCTGTGTTTTTGGGGTGTTTTTGGGGTTTCTCACCTGTGTTTTTGGGGTGTTTTTGGGGTGTTTTTGGGCTGTTTTTGTGGTGTCTCACCTGTATTTTTGGGGTGTTTTTGGGGATATTTTTGGGCTGTCTCCCCTGTATTTTTGGGGATATTTTTGGGGTTTCTCACCTGTGTTTTTGGGGTGTTTTTGGGGTGTTTTGGGGCTCTCAGCAGCCGCAGCTCTGCCTGGTTGGGGCCGGGTTCCCCCGGGGCTGCCGGAGCTGCCGGAGCGAAGCGTCCCCGTACTGGATCCCTGAGCCCATCCTCTCGGGATCCAGCTCCCCTGGAAGGGAAAAATCAGAATTTTGGGATCCCAAAATCACCTAAAATCAACCCAGACCCGTCACAGAGACCCTGGAAAAAATTGGGAATTTTTAGAGCCCAAAATTCCCCCAAAAATCCTGAAAAAAATCGAAATTTTGGGACCCAAAATCACCCCAGACCCAGCCCAGATCCATTGGAAAAAAATTGGGAATTTTTAGAGCACAAAATTCCCCAAAAAATCCTGAAAAAAATCGAAATTTTGGGACCCAAAATCACCTAAAGTCCCATAAAATCCATCCCAGATTCCCTGGAAAAAAATTGGGAATTTTTAGAGCACAAAATTCCCCCAAAAAATCGAAATTTTGGGGTCCCAGATGGATCCCTGAGCCCATCCTCTCGGGATCCAGCTCCCCTGGGAAGGGAAAAATCAGAATTTTGGGATCCCAAAATCACCTAAAATCAACCCAGACACAGCCCAGATCCCTGGAAAAAAATTGGGATTTTTAGAGCACAAAATTCCCCCAAAAAATAAAAAAAAAATCAGAATTTTGGGTCCAAAATCACCTAAAATCAACCCAGACCCAGCCCAGATTCCCTGGAAAAAAAATGGGATTTTTAGAGC